CCTGCGCCCACCTTCTCTCACACTGGCTGAATTGGAGCAGGCCCTCAGCATTTTATTGCTTGCTGAATGTATTTGCAGCTGCTGAGGGTTCATAGGCATGGGCACTTTGTTGGAGCTTCTTTGGCCTGCAGGCTCATGACTGTTCGTCACTGAACCTTTGCAGGAAAAGGTTTGCTAGACTTTTCCTTGTGTCTTGGCTTTGCACACATTTGAATGCTGAGTAACACTGGAGGCAAAGAAGAAAGAAGGTCACTCTGTTTTGTATGACAGTTGCTACCTTGAGCCCTACAGGCTACATTAGGCACCTGACCTCCATGCTCCCTACTAGGGGACTTGACCTCAGTGTTTAGCCCTTGGGTTAAATTTGTTAGGGTCTGGGGCTGGCCAGAACCTCTGGTGTGTATTCTGTGAAGCTAAGGAGAATCAGGAAGTTGGTTCCCACACCTCCAGATTTGCCACAGGGTGAAGTCAAGGAATCACAGGCCCTGTGATAGAATGGATGAGAAGAGCATGGAGATCTTGAGGTGACACTGTGTGAAAACTCCTGGTGATAGAAAGAAACCTGATTCCATGTGACTTATTCCACTCTGGGCTACCACAGTATGTGGGTCACCATGCTAGGGTATCCTTTGGACTTATCACACTGGATGAAGGGATAAGTGAAAATGCTAATGCTACCATAACCCCTCCCCACACTCTTCCAAACAACATATGCTCTGTAACAAACAGTAGTCCCTAACAGATGTATGTTAACTTTCATAGATGTCACAGGTTGAATCTTCTGAGTCTGCCAACTTTGTAGAAGCTCTGCTTTTTTAGAGCTTTTCGTCCCTTTAATCTGAGGTCATCATTGTTATGATACATTTTATTATCATTAAAGTCAACCATAACTGCCTTCCTTTGAGGTAGTTAGTGTCTCTGGTCACTTCTTCCCCTGACTCATTTCTTCTCTTTTCCCCTTAACAGAACCTTAATAGTTCAGTGATAAATTTGTTATTTCCCAAATGTCCATGTTGCCTTCAGTGCCTCCACATTTACTTCCTCTCAAACCTCCAATATTACTTTTCAGAACTCAGATTGTCGTACGATCATGAATTTTTATTTCTGTACTACCCCATAGTAGTCTTTTATCCTCCAATCACTCCTTCACTCTGTCCCTACCTCTCAAGATGATTGAAATTTATATTCTACACATACAGCACCCTGTCATATCTTCTGGTCTTTGCCATGCCCCCTCTGCCAAGTTGGGTTAAGTATTCAGTATTATACCCAACACCAATTCATTTCATGGAACACTCTGATGCCCTTTTCAATTCCTCCCTTGCTTCTCTAAGCATCTCTTGAAGTTTCAAACAACCTATGTGCTCCTTCTCTGTTTTATCCCCCAAAACTGATCACATTAGCTTTTCTATATTTTCCTGGCACCTCATGCTCACTATCAAAGCACTTACTGCTCCGCCAGTTTATACATTTTTCTCTCCCACACAATCTAGAGCATTCTTTGGAACTGGGGACTGTGTGTTAAGGACTATTCCCAGAACCTATACTTGTTTCTCACATAGCAGGTGGTCAATAAATGACACAGTGTACTAGTTACTATGCTTTTATTTTCTCTATATACTATGATAACTAGCCATATTCACAGATAATGTGTGTTCTTTACAAGACAGCAGACACAAAGGACTTCAGAAAAGTCAGTTTTGAACAATTCCTTTATCCTCCTCCCACATTCACTGATTTTTCCAAACTTTCAAAGAACAGCCTATTTGAGTGATTTGAATTCTGTACCAAATCACAGAATATGATGAAACAACTTCATCTCATAACGTTAACAAAACTGTTATAGCAAATGTCAATAACAAGGAAAAAAAACCAAAGAAATCTCTTAAATTGTATATTTAAACATACTGTGATCCTTAACAATATTATAAAATGAAACAAGTTTACAATATCCAAAGCAAACACTCTATTTCGCAGTTAAACAATTAGCACTGATCACAAATACCGAATACAGTGCCCCACCCCACCCCCGCCCCGCAATCCACATCCTTTTCAACTCAAGACCCACCCAAGCCACCTACTCCTTAGGGGTACCTTGGACTCTTTTCTCTAGGGGGGGGGGTCTCAGATTTCCCTAGGGGGTGGAGTAACCCCTAGCACCTGAATTGAGGATAGCCTCTACCTCTGCATCATCCTCTGAATCCCAGTCATAGTTACATGGCCAGTCCTTGGAGCATCGGTTACGAACCCTCGCCACAAAATGCATGACTTTCAGCTTGCTGGATTCCACATGTGCTCGGGGGCCCCAGAAGAACTCATACTCCACCGGATTGCTGCGGGGTACTGGCTTATAAATCAGGTACCCTCTGCGCACAAACTCTTCTGTAACGACCTTCTTCGGATCTCCAAAGATGCTGTGCTGCCGCCCAGGCTGCATCCCTAACTTCCCCAGCACTTTCCAGACCAGGGCCTCCTTCGCGCTGTTGCCCATGATGAAGATGAGGGCTAATATGGACATCAGGAGACTTTTCTTGGTGCCCTGAAAATTGCTCCGGGCTACGGAGGGCTTTTGTGTTAGGGCAGTGCTGGAGGCTTCCTCAGGGGTGGTGGAGGCCTCCTCTGGGGTGCTCGGGTCTTCTTCTGGGCCGCTTAGGTCGTCTTCTGGGGTGCTCGGGATCACAGAGGCCGCCATCGGGGTCTCAGAGGCCTCTGAAGCCTGAATCTTGCGATTGTTGCGGTTCTCTTCCGCAGCCCTTGCGTTACGGCGGCGCCGACTCTTTCGTCCCCGAGGCATGTCCCTTGCTAGGCGTTCAAAGCCTACAGCAGTCCTAGCGATGGATACCTGTAGCCTCTATAAAAACAGCTATTTCTGTCTTAAAAAGAGGCCGCCGCGGAAGACACCAATGTCAGAGTCTTTGTAACAACAAAACAGAAAAAGCTCTTTCGCAGGCAAGCTGCCTTGCGTGAGCAGTCGCTCGCCCGCACTTGCTGCAGCTACAAGCGCGCGAGAAAGCTCAGCAGAATTGGCTCCGCCTCTCCTGCCACGCACTCGCCAAACACCGAGGAGGAAGTGGGCTGATCCTCCACAGGGACTTCCGCTAGCGGATAGGAAAAGCAGCAGGCTATAGCCGGGGTGGGGCAAAGGTAGACATGACCGCTAGGGATTGGTGGAAATTGTGGTATGCACGGGAGAAATGAATAGCATAGAGTTTCTGTATTCTTCAGTGTGGTGCAGACATTCCAAGATTGGTTCGCGGGTTTTGGGAAGCTGAAGGTCTCTATTCCATTCACACCCAAGGCGGGCTGAGGAGGGTGGGAAGTCGCGAAGCGGGAAGTATTCCTGCAAGGAATCAGCTGACTCCAGCCCTCCTTTCTTGTCTTAGCTTACACAGTTCATTCATTCATTTGCATGCCCTGTTTGCAGAAGGCTTTTATGTGCACCTAATTAATTCGGAGGCTCCTCTAGGACCTGGATAATACTGTCATGGCCAAAGTGGTAGGTGACAAGATGACATGGGAATGCAAAGCAAGAAGCACGCAAGAGGCACAGTGCCTTCGCAAAATTATATATTCGCGGGTTTATTAAGCAGGGTAGTGATAGGATCAGACTTGAATTTCTGCAGCCTCACAGAGGGGCAGACAGTCTCCTGTCAGACCACTTAGGAAGCAATTAGAATAAGAAATAAAAGGGATGAAAGTGATCCTTAAGGCTGTTGCCATGGGGATGGAGAGGCAGATAGGCATGCTAAGGGTGACCATTGAAAGGCTTAAGAGACTGAATGGAAACAGGGAATGTGGAGGTTGGGATGGAGTACACGTTAGCTTCAAGATTTCAAGGCTCTAGTCTACCTGCGTATCTGACTTACTCTGCTTCTTTCAGAGCACACTCTGAATTTTATTCACTCCTTGCTTTTGGTCACTGTTTCCTCTACCTAACGTGCCTTTCCTCCCTTCTCCAAACATCTAAATTCCATCTGCTTGCTCACAGGCATCTTTCTCCCCAAGTTTATCTTTGCTGCCCCAAAAGATTGAGTCAATTTTTACTCCTAGCATTCTGTATTTTTCTTATGTCATTCCAGTTATTAGCTTGCTCAAATCACTTCACCTCAACCTGTTTCCTCAAATCTGTAAAGTAGAGGTAATTAAAGTACTGGCTTCGTAGGGTTGTGTGAATTAAATGAGATAGTAAATGAAAAGCCTTTATTACGCAGTAAGCACAGACTTTGCCTCTCAATGTGTTTCAATCAGTATGTGAGTGACATTTAATAAACTCATGTTAAAGAAATGCATGATGGGAAAGATTTTACATGTGTTCTTTACTGCACTCTTAAAAAGCAAATGAATGCTCTTTACCTGTTTGGCTGGTAGGGATTAAATGCTTGATTGACAGCCTCAGTGTGTAACCACCCTGTCTAGCCCATAGTTCTTGATACCTTCCAGCTTTTGATGGAGTTTGTAGAATAGAATAAGGCTGTATCTAGTGAGCAAATTCTGGGGATAGGCCTTAAGTAGAGAAACAGGTATTGAAATGAGACCTGGGAACATAAGTTCTAGCCCAGCCTGAGTCACCTTGATTTTGATGAATTCACCTGATATCCCTGTCCTTTGATTTCTGTATAAACAGAAAAGGCTGATCTCTCTAACCTTGTCTGCTCAATTTGTTCTAAGTCTCTCTGGAAGTCCAACAGCTCATGAAAGAAATTCTGAATTAGAGCAGGTTTATGGGTTTAGGAGTTATTTATTCATTTGCTTATTTATTTAATCAATTCATTTTCATATTTGAGACTCTGTATGCCTAGAACACTGCAAAATTGAATACATTCTTTCAAATTTCTTCCCTATTCTGATGGGATATCATAAAAGTTTAATATGGCAAACTCATTCTCTTCCCAAAGGCCACTTTCTTACTGAAATTTTCTTTATAGCTAAGCCTGAGACCTTCTATTTCATAAAACTACCCATAAATCAACTTAAGCCAGTGCATATTTGGTGCTTTTGTCACAAACCAGCTGATGGAGGAGGGTGACAGCACTGCCTTCATCTGAGTGAAACTTGCTTCACTCCAGAACAGGGACAAAGCAGCTCTGTATAGCACTCTAGATAGATTGGATCTTAGCCTTAAATAATGCACAATTTAGGGCCTCAGCTCCCATCCAGTTTCTCCAAAGAAGTAATCACAGAGTTTAAGCTCTAGGCTATTTTCAGTGTTCCCCAAAGCTTAAACAGAAGTCACATTTATAGATGACAAGACTACAGAAATTATTACTCAGTAAACAAGGTATATTTAATAGCCAAAATATTACCAAGGATTGTATTAATAGGAGGAAATAATGAAATCATGCTTTGGGAAATTAGAGGTCATTTATCTGTTTGGAGCAAATAGCACGAGATGGTGGAAGGGCAACCGATCTTTGAGGGCTCTGAAACTAATATTGATGTGTTGTGCTACCATGCTATGTGCCTAACCTACCTCCACTTTGGAATCTTTGCAACAACCTTTGTTCGCCAATGAAACTATGAGGGATTAACTAATTTGCCCAAGATCACAGCATTCCTGGCTATTTTCATATTTAAACTCCTATCTTCAGATTCCCAACCTCTAATTCTGCCATCATACCTAACAGCTGCTACAATTCAGAGCATATTTAGTGGTGCAAGGAAGCTTAACATGGAAGGGGGTGTTTGTATTCCCTTAAAATAGGAGCAGAAGGAAAGGAGATGAGAAAAGGGACAGATGTAGAGAAGGGGAAGACAAGTATCTTTACTCACCTTATCAGTTTTTTTTCCATGCTTGGCTCTGCTCCTTTTAAGCTATTTCAAGTCTGGAATACTAGTTAACCTTTCTAAATCCAGATTTCTCCACTTGTAAGTGTATATATCATAATGGTGTTGTGAAGAATAAAGCATAATAGCTCCTGAAAGTTGTGGCAGACCTCCACTCACCGATGATATCCATGTTTCTATCCTCAGAACCTGTGAATATGTGACCTTATATGGCAAAAGAAACTTTGCAGAAATAATGAAGTTAAGGATCTTGAGATGGAGAGATTATCCTGGATTATATGGGTGGGCACAGTATAACCACAGAATTATGATGGAGGCAGTAGATTCAGAGCCAATGAAAGATTTAAGAATGGAAGAAGAGCCAGGCACTGGTTGCTCATGCCTGTAATCCTAGCTATTCAGGAGGCAGGGATCAGGAGGATTGAGGCTTGAAGCCAGCCCTGGGCAAATAATTCTTGAGACCCTATCTAGAAAAACCCATCACACACACACACACACACACACACACACAAAGAATGGAAGGAGAGAACAGCAGAGAGGAGATAAGATGCTACACTGCTGCCTTTGGAAATGGAAGAAGGAAGGGCTACTTAGCTAAGAAATGTAGGCAGAATGCGATGGTGGACAGGCAACTGATTCCAGCTTCTAGAAGCTGGAAGTACAGGAAGGAGCATATTCCTGCAGATATATCTTAGAGTTACAGCCTCTGGAACAGTAAAACAATAAATTTGGTTACTTTAAGACTCAACATTTGTGGCAATTTGTAATCTAACCAAAAGGAAAGTAACACACACGTGCCTTACTCATAAAGAATGCTTAATGAATGAGAGCTATGATTATTGTTCAGGTGAATTTATATGGGATTATTTTCAGTGGAAGTGTAGGGAAGGACATGCAAAGGGCATGGGACTGGGCTGGATAGGTTGACAGCAATTTTTGCAATTGTCAATACACCTTTGTTCTTTCCTAGTGTTGTCCACTACCTGATTTCTCCCAGGCATTGTCCTGGAGGTTTGCTCAAGTTTCCAAAAGGCATTGCTCTTATCTGGGTAGACATCACAATACCCACTATTTGAAGGTAAGTGCTGGGAGACACTTCTGTTGTTGCTCACTAACCAATCAACCTTCTGATACCAGCAAGAACCTCTCTAGGGCATAGAGCACACTTGTACCAGACCTCCATTTGGAACAACTTCTGCACTCATTGTAAGCTAAGGCTTACTGGTTTTACTTGAGCAAGTGAGTCTGACTCCATGTGCTTTCCCTCATTTGGGGGCTTCTCAGAGTTCCAGTCTAATCGTGATTCTTCTAAATTGTTTTGCAGTGTGGGTATGGACTTATATTTACAATTTCAAGGCAATCGAACCTTACAAGGAAGTCCATGTACACTTCTATCATCATGAAACAAAATGGTGGGATAATTTTTGTGGTTTATTTGCTTGTTTGAAATGTATTTTATTGCAAATTAATCCCAAACATAAGGACAAGAATATAAACTAATATTACAAACACCCATATAATCAATGCCTGCCTTTATAAAATTTAAAAATTAAGCTCTATTTTCTACCTTACATCTATAGTAAAACTTTCTGTTTACTTGACCTACTCTATTATCTCCTTCCCCATAGGGGCCTGCTATCATAAATTCAATAAAATTATTATACCCATGAAGGATAGTATATATTTGCTACCAATTTATGTATCTGTACACATTAGGTAAAATTTTTACTATTTATCCATTTAGATACAAGTAGCTGTAGTTCATTCATGCTAATTTATGTGTAATATAATCACTCAATATTTACAATGTTTCTCTGCTGATGATCTGTACTTAGAACTATTTCAATTTTCCAGAATGAGCAATGGTCTTTTTAGTATTTTTGTACATGTCTTCTGTGGACATGTACATGAAATTCTCTAAGACAAATATCTAGGAGTAGAATTACTGGGTAAGCCTGCATGTATATGTTTAGATAGATCATTTGGCTTTCTATTTTGTTTCTTTTATAAAAAATTGTCATTCTATAATAGTATTTCAACATGATCCCTTTCCTAATCAACAATGATATATCTTCCTCATACCTCTAATTCCAGGTTTTTCCTCCCTCTACAAACAATGCTAAAAAATGTGTAGTCATTGGTTTACTAGGATTTTCTTAAATTAGTTTTCAGGATGTTTGATAAATAATTTAAAATTCATCCTTCTAGAGAGTGATTAA